CCGCGGGCCTGGGCCGGCCGGTGGCTGGAGCAGGCCTTCCCGCGGGGGGACGTGCTGGGGCCCTGGGAGGGCGGGCCGCCCCGGCTTCCTGTGGACCTGGCCTCGGCCCAGGCCTGCCCCTTGATGGTCCTGACAATTCCCTCGAGGTTCAGCTAGGGGCTCTGTGCGTCTGTCTGGGTGGGCGGGTCCTCTGTCTGGTCCGAGCTCTGCCCTGGGAAAGCCCCCTCCCCGCCCCCTGGACTTCCTGCTGGAGAGGAGCCGGGAAGATTGGGGTGAAACTGGCTTTTCAGGTTTGGTCCTGGGAAGCCCGAGCAGTCCCTGTCTGTGTTCTCCCTACCCGGTGGGGCCAGCCCCTGCCCCAGCACCCCCCCAAGGTTGGGAAGAAACTCAGCAGCTTCCTTGGGTGGAAGGGAGTCCCAGAGGCTGGTCCCCTGCTACCCCCCGGCCGTTCTGGGCATACTGCGGTCCTTTTCCCTGGGAACAGGGGAGGAGCGTCGAGGCATCTCCCAGATCCGTGAGCAGGCTGGACAGCCTCTGCCCCGGGCAGCTGGCCTTCTAGTGGTGCCCTTGGTTCTGGGGAAGGCCTCCCCTGCCTCTCAGGGACCACAAGTCCTCCCCGAGGGCCTTCTAGCTGTAGCTGACCCCGGATGTACAGTGTCAGGCTCTCTTGGCTGCTGTCTGGGTTTGGGAGCAGGGAGAAGTGGGGCCCAGGAGTCAACAGCCCCGAGGCTGAATGCAGGTGTGCTGCTAGACCTTGGGGGTCTGCAGCTGGGCCAGTGGCAGACAGAGTCCTGCGCAGACCTGGCTCACTGGCTGCAGCGTCCTGTCTGTGAGGTGGACACAGGGCTCTCCCAAGGGCTGCCATAGGTCACTGGGGTCAACCAGATCAGGTCAAGGCAGGCAGGCCAGGCTCCTCCACTGCACGCAGAGCACACGTGTGTGGTCAGTCAAACACGTCTGGGGACTCTGACACTGGGCCGGCCATCTGTGCTGTGGCCAGGACTGTCAATGGGATGTGGCCTTTCTAGCCTGGAGAGAATGGGGCCTGGCTAGACCCTAGATCTGGAGCCAGAGATTGCACCAGGGTCATGGCCCCACCCACCATCTGACTGTGTGGTCTGAGAGGGTCCCCAGACCTCTCTGAGCCTTAGGGCTCCCTGTCAGACCCAGCCAGGGTGGGGGATTGGACTGACCATTGGTGACCAGGATCCTGGCCCACCCCCGTGCACACCCTAGGACGGAGGCTCCTGTACCTGGCCGTGGCCCACGCGTCACACACCATCTGCAGTGGAGCCTCGTTCTGTGGGGTGGTGGGTTGCGTGGGGAGGCAGGCTGCTGTGTTCTGGGGACAGGGACTGGATGCTGCACTGGCCAGGTCTCAGGCTTCCCACAGCAAAGCGGGCAGGAGGCGTGGCAGCGTTCTCGACTTGGCGCCACGTGCAGAGGAACAGCCACAGAGAGCCCAGGCAGCTCGGGGCTGGGCAGGACCGGGCTCCGCTGCCACACAGCTGGTGGCCCTTCCCAAGGGAACCCAGGGCCTGGCATTGGCTTAGGGGCCTCACGGAAGACTGAGGGCTAGAGGCCAGGGAGCTGGTGGGGATGTGGAGGGGCCGGCTTCTCTTGCGGCAGGCTCAGGTGAACAGAGGGTGTCCGGCACCTGTCCCAGGCTTGGCGGTGGCCTGGGGCCAGCTGGCCACTCTGCCTTGGTGCCTGACCGCGGCGCCTGCAGCTTGCAGGGCAGGCCCAGGTGCAGTGCTGCTGCTCGTGCCTGAGAGTGCAGCTCCACACGGGCTGTGGCCACGTCTGGTGTGGGCCGCCGGCCCGCTCGAGTCTGCATGAGCCCTGTTCAGGGTCCGCCCTGAGGCCCTGGGCTTGTGCTTGGGACCCTCCAGTCCTCGCCCCACCTGCAGCTATGGCTGCTCTTTTTGCAGCTCCCAGGGCTCCCCCAGGACCTGCAGGCAGCACCCGGCTTTGTGCTGCTTATTCAGCTGCTGCCAACCTACTGTGCGACCCCGACCTTCAGGTGGGAAAGTGAGGCTGGCTCGGGTGTGGGACAGTGAAGATAGTCTTGGACCGGGGCCCTTCCCCGGCCTTGAACCAGTGCACAGGGCCAGCCTGAGGGTCACCCCGAGCAAGGACCCAAGTTGTCAGGACCTCTACTGCGGAGCTGCAGCACCTCTGCTCCCACAGCAGCAGAGGGGTCAGCAGGCACAGCCTCCCCGGCCTCCTCGGCCCCGCTCATTGTCCTCGCACGCCCTCCAGCTCCTGGGTGCTCGCAGTTCCAGGGGTGCCACCGTCTCGTGCCCCTGCTGTGTGCTGTGGGGCTGGGCCGGGGTGAGCTGCTGTGAGTGCTGCCAGGGTGACTCGGGCCCTGTGACGTCACCAGGCTCCCATGGGTCAGCAGTGGGCGGTGCCATGGGGAGTCCCCTGAGGGGCCATCTGGGAACAAGAGCCCACTGTGCGCCTGGGGAGGCCTAGACACTGAGCCACTGTCCTCCGGGTGGGCAGCATGCTACTCCCTGGTCCGGGCTCTTTGTCTGGCCTGGGCCTGCCCCTCCCCCGGGCCTACTGTGGAACCCCACCCCACCCCCGGCCTTGTGAATCCCACCAGCTCGAAGCCAGATATGGCCCTGGGCACACAGGCAGGCAGGGGCGTGTGTCCTCCGTCCTCCTGGAGGGGCGAGGAGGGTGGACCCCACCAGGGAGCTGAGCATCTCTGCTGTTGCCTGCATGAACCAGGCCCAGGTTCCTGTGAGCACTCGCTGTGCCAGCTGCTCACCCCTTTCCTAGAAAGTTTGCCCTTTAATTTGCTAGAAGGCACGTCCATTTGCTGGAGAGAGTCAGAGAGAGGGGAAGTGAGAAGTCACCCTCCAAGGGGGATGGCCATGCCACAGTCTCTTGTCCTCCCTGCCCCTGGGATTGTGGGCGCCCACACACAGGTGCGCAGTGTGATTTTCAAGCTGCTGGGTCAGGGACTCAGACCATGGAGCCCATCACATGGGATCCAGCACCTTAAGCACTACGCCACCTGCTGGCCCCTCCCGTTTTCTAGAAAGTTTATTTTCTATATATTCATTTTTTAATTTGCCAGAGGGCGTGTGTGCTCTCCAGAGAGACAGAGAGACACAGCCGTGGCGGTGCTGTTGGGATTTGGGCACGCACATGCACATGCCTAGCGTGTGTTTCATGCCACTGGTCCAGTCAGCCACGTGGGATCCAGCCACTCTCACCAGCCACTGCCGGCTGGTCCAGCTTGCTTACGTACTGAGAGAGCATGCCACGTACCTCTGCAGGCTCAGCGCACCGCAGTCCACCCCAGCCTGGCCAGCCCGAACCATGGGCACACACGGTTAAGCCGGGCCCAGACCCTAGGCCTCCATAGCTTCAGTGTGACCAATGGCACCTGCCGCTTGTCCTGCCTGCCCGGCCACCTGCCCTGAGGTGCTCGTGCGCCATCAGCGCCTCTCCTCAGGCACGCTCTCCTCAGGATGCTCTGTTACTCTCAGCATGGGACTGGCCTGCTAGCCTGGGATCTGCAGAGACCAGTGTCCCCCAGCAGGGGCTCCAGGACAGCTTACCCAGCCCGCTGTGGACCCAGCAGTGACAGGGGAGAGGAGCCAGCAGGTGGTGTGGTTGAGGGCGCTAGACTTCCACCTGGCCAACTGTGGTTCGAGTCCCGGATCTGGTGGCTTGTTTCTTCCTTTCTTTCTCTGGTCAAATGAAAAAGTAGTAATGACAAATAGAAATAAATAAGTAATTCTTTATTAAAAGAAGGGAAAAGAAAGTTCCGGCACCACTTAGGCATCTGGGTCAGGGGGCACCTGTTTTGGGGACAGCCTGCTGAGGCTGGGGGCACAGGCAGAGCCTGGGGTGAGGCCTGTGTGAGGGCAGGCCTCCTGGAGCGGGAGCTGTGGTGGGGCCTGCTCAGCGCAAAAGTAGCTTGTGCACCGGAGTGGGGTGCGGGCCTGACGAGGGGGCTCCCAGAGAGCCCTGCCTGGCACTCAGCCTGCCGTGCCTCTGTTCCTCTCTGGACCCTGTAAGAATCAGCCCATTTTCCAGGCGAGAGGCTGAGGCTGGCCTAGGTTGTCAGTGGCAGAAGGGGCTGAAGGCACGTAGCTTTCCCTATCTGAAATGTGGGGGTTTCCTCCACAAGACCCCACCGGGCCCCGCAGTCTTGGGTGTAGACCTGGGTATGTGGCTCAGGCAGCCTTCTGGAGTACTGTGTGCTCCCGGCAGGGCGGCCCTGCAGCCACCTCCCAAACGTGGCCTGTGGGTGGCAAGGAGGAGCCTCACCCCACGGAAGCTGGGCCCTCTGTCCTCTGGGGCCCTAGGTCTGCAGGTCTGGGCTGGGTGTGTGACTCCGGTTCAGCTCCCAAAGGGACCTTGGTCCACCAGTTCTCAGGGTGGTCCGTGCCAGTCTCCTCCCCGACACGGTGGGGCTGGGGCCCAGAAGGGATCTGTGGCACGGAGGTCGATGCCGACCTCACCCCTGTGAGGGCAGGCAGGGCCGAGGGTGGGAAGGGCTTGTGCCCCTGGAGTGGGAGTTCTCCGGTGGGGGCCTGCAGGCTGGGGTGACCCCCAGACACCCTCCTGGGCCTGCGCTTGGCAGGTGGGGCCGGGAGCTGTGGAGCTCCTGGGGCGGGAGGCTGTCAGGAGCTGTGACCAGCACGCTGGGCCTCTCCTGTCAGAACAGGGCCAGCGGGCCACGGGCCTGTTGCCGTGCCTCCCTGTCGTCAGATGAGCGGAGGCCTGGCCCAGTTACGCCGCCCCGAGGTGGGCACCGCAAACCGGCCGGCCTCGGGTTCCCTCGGCACCAGACTGGTTTTCCGTGTCCTCCCTGTACAGGGAGGTGGGCGGAAGCAGGTGGGTTTCCCTTAGGGCATTGCTTCAAGGAGCTCCGCAGCCCCCCACTCTGCTCCGGGCACCTGTTCCCCCTGGGAGCTTCTAGATCCCATGACCTTGGAGGGGAGGCTGGGGCTCACCTCATGGTCACCCCGATGGTCTGCTCGGGGCCATCCCTTGCGCTGGGTGACAGGTTGGGTGGGGCTCAGATGCTCAAGGTGTCTGAAGCATGTAGCCCCCACGACCCCCCCCTGACTCCCAGCCGGTCCTGGGTGCATGGCGCCACCTGGTGGTCACAGTAGTGTCTGCTCCTTGTGCTAGAAGCCTTTGAGTATCTGCCCCAGCCCTGGGGACCCAGGCTCTCGTCAGGGGATGGGAGTGGCGGTGCTGGTGGGTAGGAGGGTGCCGGAAGCCTGAGATGTCGCACAGGCTGTGTCCTGGGTCCCCGCCCCCTCTGCGTATAGCATCTCCTTGAAGCTTCCCTCAGATGTGGCCTCTCACAAGGGGCCCTCACTGCCTCATCACATTCAGATTCTTTTTCCCCCTTTTTTAAAGATTTCGCTGTAGGGCCATGCGCTCACTGGAGAGAGACAGAGAGGGAGGAAAACTGGGGAAGTGAGAAGTTACTACCTGAGGAGACGGCCACGCCACCTTCCCTTCTCCATTCTCCCCTTGGGGTTTTGGGTACGCACACACACACACTGGGTCCAGGACTCAGGCCGCGAAGTTGGCAGCTGGGGTCCGGCTGCCTTAACCGCACACCACCTGCCGGCCCCACACTTGGCGTCTTGCCGTCTCGGCACGCAGCTCCAGGGCCAGGGATTTTGTGCTGTTTCCCCACCGAGAGTCCAGCTCAGGACAGTGCCCGGATCAGGGCAGGGCCTGGACGGCTGTCCCAGGGCGAGTGCCCTCCAGGACAGGCCTTGGGGGAGCAGGTCAGAGTGAGCATGCAGGGCTTGGACACAGGGTGCTCTTGCTATGCCTCGCCCTGCCTGCCCCAGCCGGCCACTGTTCTTATTAAACGCCCCCCACCAGGCCCGCCCCCCACCTGAGTCATGATCGAGGCCCGCAGGGACAGCTCGAGCAGTCTGCAGCGCAAGAAGCCGCCCTGGCTGAAGCTGGACATCCCGGCCCTGGTGCCCCCGGCCGTAGAGGAACCCGGCTTCCTACAGGTAGGCCCAGGTCAGTGGGGCTGTGGCCGGGTCCTGGCCACTCCCCTCACCACGACCCTGTTGCCCAGCCCTTGAGGCGGCAGGCTTTCCTGAGGAGTGCGAGCATGCCAGTGGAGACCGCTCACGCCCCTTCGCCTCATCGCGAGCCCCGGCGGCCAGCGCTGCAGCGCCAGGCGTCCATCACACAGACCATCCGCAGGTGTGGTGCGGCATGCATGCCCCCAGGCCTGGGCTGGGGCTGGGCTCGGGCAAGGCCTCACCTCGCTGCCACGGCCTTGGTCCCCACACCGCCTGCCCTCAGGACGCACTGCGCTCGGCCCACCACCCCCACTCTCTCCTCACCCTAATGCTGTGGCCTCCGGCAGCCGACAGGTGCACTTTGGGCACGTCCACACTCTGCCTCTCCCAGGCCCCCGCTCTGCCCGCAGGGCCCTGGCACGCCAGTCCCTCTCACGGTCTCTGCTCAGGTACTGCAGGCAGGTCCTGGGTGTGCTGCTGTGTTCTGGCGTGTGCATGGTGTGGAGCCTCTCGGGGCTGCCAGTGCAGGCAGTGCCTGGTGCAGTGTTTCCGTGTGCACGGCCCAGGGCTGGGCTGTCTGCTGGGCCTTGCCCTTGCCGTCTGAGCCATGGGGTGTCCCGGGTGCCACTGCTGCTGGGGGACGCTCCCCTCGGCTGCTCTCAGCTCCTGACATGCCTAAGGAGAGGCTGAGGGCGAGGCCTGCCCTGTGGTCTAGGGGGAATTTGGAGCTGGGTCCTGCTTAGGGGGTGGCCAGGCAGGAGCCCACTTGTTCTGTGGGTTAGACCCTCCCTCGGTCAGGGGAGGCCTGGACAGGGCAGACTGCCTGGGAGGACGGCAACCGGGCTGCCCCTTGCTAAGCCCCTCCCATGCTAGGGGGACAGCTGACTGGTTCGGGGTGAGCAAGGACAGTGACAGCACACAGAAGTGGCTGGG